TCCCAGATAGGGGCTGGAGCAATAGCCCAGCGGGTAGGGCGTTCGCCCAAGGCATTTGCCTTGAACGCAGCCGACCCGGGTTGGATTCCCAGCATCCCATATGGTCCCCTGAGCACTGCCAGGAGTAATTCCTGAGTGCATGAGCCAGGAGTAACCCCTGTGTATCGCCGGGTATGACCCCCCAAAAAATATCCCAGGTAATTCTTCTTCCCATTCCAAGTTTGAACCGGTCTGAAACTTGGGATTCAGACAGACAGATGGACAGGCCGGCAGGCACATAGGAGGTGGTGCTTTTAGGGGGACAGTGTTGGAGGGGATGGAGCCAAGCTGGTCAAACCAAACGTTCTCGAGGCCCCCTCACCATGGACCCGGTATCCTCCGTGAGCACAGGCTTCCCCCTCACAGGGAAGAGCACCCCTCTCAGAGAAGTCGAGGCTATCAGCGCTGGGGCCTGCATCCAGGCAGCAAGGCCTGTGGGATCCGCCCGTATTTCCTCCTGGGCCATCGGTACCGCCAGCCGTCCTGTGGCTTCCTGGCCGTCCTCTCTCCTCACGCCCATGTCAGCCACTACGGGGCCGGGGCCGCCTGGCAGGGGTGAGGGAGGGCAGCGGGCGGGCTGGGGGTGGCCACTCTGTGTCCAGTTCCCACCACCACGTGCCCTGCCTGTGTCTGGGTGCCGGAGTTCCTGGTCTCCATTCTCGGAGATCTCGTCTCCCTCTATCCCTGCACAACTTGGTGTCATCTTAGTACCCCCTTTTGGGGGGCCCCGTTGCCATGGAGCTTCTGAGTATAGTCAGCTCATAGGAGTCACCAAGTAGAGGCTGAGGGGGAAGAGACCAGGACCACGCCCCTTTCCTCCCTCCCTCCCTCCTCCTCTCCCTTTCTCCCCTCTCTCCTCTCTCCCTCTCTCTCTCCCTCTCCCTCGCCTTCTCTCACCCTCTCTTTCCCTCCCTCTCTCCCTCCCCCTTTCTCTCCTTCTCTCTCCCTCTCTCTCCCTTTCTCTCCCTCTTTCTCCCTCTCTCCCTCTCTCTTTCTCTTTCTCTTTCCTCTCTCTCCCTCAATCTCTCCCTCTCACTCTCCCTCGCTTTCTCTCTCCTTCTCCCTCCCTCTCTCTCCCTCTCTCCCTCTCTCTCCCTCTTTCTCTCCCTCTCTCTCCCCTCCCTCTCTCACATTCCTCCCTTTCTCCCATTCCCTCCCTCCCCTCACTCCTCTCTCTCCCTCACGCTCTCTCCCTCACTCACTCACTCTCACTCTCTCCCTCACTTTCTCTCTCTCCCTTTCTCTCTCTCCCCCCCCCTCTCTCCTTCTCCCTCCATTCAAGTCTAGGATGTTTCTTCTCCTCTTTAGAACTCAGATGGTCCCTCAGGCATCCCCATGTCAGCCCGGGCTTCTCCTGGACAGCCTCCCAGCACCCATTCTCATCCTCCTCAAGGAGAAAGGAAGAGACTCGAAGAGGACTTGGGCAGTGACTCTTCTCTGGGCTGGGTGGGGCACGGCGGGGATGCCATTCTGGCAGTCCAGCCAGCAAAACAGAGAGAGCCGAGGGACAGCCCCAGGGTTCAAAGCGGAGGTTGAAGCTGGACTTGTATGCCCAGGCTATGGGGTTGGGAAAGGTCACGATCACGATCACGACCATCCTGTTGTTCGTTGATTGCCTCGAGCAGGCCCCAGTAATGTCTCCTTCATCCTAGCCCTGAGAATTTTTTAAAAAGTGCCATATTCAAGGCTCTTTCAGGGTTAGGAGAATGAGACCCATCATTGTTACTGGTATTTGGCACATTGGGTACGCCACGGGGAGTTTGCCAGACTCTGCCGTGTGGGCAGGTTACATTTGGTAGCCTGCCAGGTTGTCCAAAGTAAGAATGAGATAATAAGATGTCACGCGGCCGCACTCCGGGAGCTGGGTTTTATAGTTTCTGGGTCTTGGCCGTTGATGGGATTACACGGTGCCAGGGGGCCAGTTGTTGGGTGTGACCCCTGCCTACTGGAATATGGAGGATCTGGGTGGAGGATGCTCAGCCCCGATTCGAGCAGGCTTGGAGATCTCAGCCCCGGGACCTGCATGCCTTTGTTCCTCTGTCGGTACCTTCTTGCTTGTGGAGAGTGGTCTCGGCATGATGGTGGCTGGTTCTAGAGGTCACACCCACCAACTGGCCCCCTGGCGCCGTGTAATCCCATCAACGACCAAGACCCAGAGACTATAAAGCCAGCTCCCGGAAGAGAACAGCACAGAGTCTCCTGCCCCCGCACCTGGCTGTCCTCACTGGAGCCCCTTGGAGGGGAGCGGGTTGAGTTTTCCTCCCCACCCTGACCAGGGCTCCGGCAGCCGAAGACCTCCAGGGAAAGGTCAATATCTTCTTTATCCAAAAGTGGTCATGGGCCTGAGAGAGAGAACAGCAAGGATGCTGCTGACCCTGCACACAGGCATAGCCTATGGCCCCCACAGACACCACTAGGAATGTTCCCAGTGGTGAGTGTTGGGGCCTGTGAGCATTGGGGTTAGTGGGGGGGTTCATTAAAGCACTTGCCTTGCACCCCGCCAATCCCAGTTTGGACTCCCAGCATCACACATGGTTCCCTGAGCAGTGCCAGGGATTACTCCCGAGCACAGAGACAGGAGTGTCTCCTGAGCACTGCCGGGTGTGCCCCCAAACTGAACCCAAACAATAAAAGTGTTGAGCGTGAACGGAGATGACTGGCAGGTGAGCTGCCCCACAGCCGTCTTCTGTCTTCATGCCAGCTTCTGGGTGTGCTGTGGCCAAACCTACCTGTGGGAGACAAAGCTCCAGCCCACAGGTGGGTGCACCTCAGCTCAGACAGAGCCCTACCCCCACCCCTGCCCCGCGGGCAGCAACAGACTATTCCCGGGACCTTTGCATCCCGCTGGCCTCTGGAGCGCTCTCTCTCTCTCAGAACAATTTCACTCAAGGGCCCCTTTTTCTTTCAAGGGTGAGGGATGGAACTCTCCCCACCCCAGGTCTGTGCAACTGAGCCACCTGTGCCCCCAGAGCTTCCTACTGAGACACAAGTGTAGTTCATGGGCGGGATCAAGTGGGCGGGGCCTAGCCATGGCCCCACCCCCTCCTCCCAGCACCCAGGGACCAGCTCTTGTATTCCCTGCATCAGCCTAGCGGGAAGCCTCCTACCTGCCAGGCTTTTTTTTTTCTTTATCTTTTTGAGGGAGTTGGCGTTTTGGGATGGCAGTGAATGATGTTCAGGGACTATTTCTAGCACTGTGTGTAGGTGACGCTCAGGGATCTGTGGTACCAGAGAGTCTTCCCTGGGTCAGTGGAATGTAAAGCAAATGTTTTTTGTTTTGTTGTTGTTGTTGTTGCTTTTAGCTCTTTGGGTCACACCCAGAGATTCTCAGGGGTTACTTCTGGCTCTGCACTCAGGAATTACTCCTGGTGATGTCTGGGGGACCATTTGGGATGCCAGGGATGGAACCCGCAGCTTGGCTGCGTGCAAGGCAAATGCCCTACCCGCTGTACTATCGCTCCGGCCCCTGTTTTTTTTTTAATATTTAAAATATTTTTGGGTTCCTGGGACACCATCAGGTGCGCTCAGGGATCACTCCTGACTAGCTCATATGGGGGTGCCAAGGGCTCAAAACTGGGTTGGCCACATGCAAGACAAGCCCCCTACCCAATTACTCTGGCCCTATCCAACACTAATTCCTGTACTATTTCTCTTGCCTTCTGGTTCTGTTTTGCTCGTTCCTCTTTGCTCCCCTAAGTCTAATTCATTCCCTACAATTGCACTATTTGGGGGGGGGGGGGCGGGGGTGTGCTCAGGGCTGACACCTAGTGGTGCTCAGGGCTGACTCCTGGCTCTGTGCTCATGGATCACTTCTGGAGGGACCTGGGACCATACGTGGTAAGGGAGATCTAACCAGGTTTGGCCAATACAAGGCAAATGCCCTATGGCTGCCTTATCCCTCTGGCCCTCTAGTTGCAATCTTCAGTAAAATTGGATGTAACTTTTTAACTTGATCTTACCCCAGGAGGGGGAAAGGGGGAGTAGTGCAGATGTTGGGTTATGTGGTGCTCGGGGATCACTCTTGGCAGTGCTCAGGCAACCATATTGGGTGCTGGAGATGAAACCTGGTTCAGCCACATGCAAGGGAAGCTCCTTCACCTCTGGGCTAACTCTCCAACCTGATTTTTAGTGTGAGGGAGAAACTGATGCCATGACAAGCTATAGCCAACATTATAAATCTCAGCTAGGCCTTAGTTTCTGTTTTCCCAAAGCAGGACTTTGCAGTTTCTGGTAAACTCCCAGTTGAGTAATTTGCCAAGATAAGGAATTGGCAGTTGGGTCTGGCCGGTCATGAGGGGTCACTGTACCCTCCTTAGAAACTGTTACTAACCATTGCCTAATTGCTGACCACCATTGTAATAGGACCAATGCTAAAAATTGACGGGTATATAAATTGCCTCTTAACTCTGAACCCTATATAAACTGCTTGTGATTTGGAGTCGGGGTCCTTGTCAAGACGCCACTGTGTTGGATGAGACTTGGACCCTAGCTCAAGCTAGCGCTGGCTCAAGCTAGTAATAAAGTTCCTTTGGTTTTGCATTATCGTGTGTGGACTTGGTTTCTCTGCAATTGAGGATCTGAAACTCCGGCAAAACATTAGTAAAATCTGAATCAGAGGGCTGGAGTGATAGCACAGTGGGTAGGGAGTTTGCCTTGCATGCGGCCGACCCAGGTTCGATTCCCAGCATCCCATATGGTCCCCCGAGCACTGCCATGAGTAATTCCTGAGTACATAAGCCAGGAGTAACCCCTGTGCATCACCAGGTGTGACCCAAAAAGCAAAAAAAAAAAAAAAATCTAATTCAGACCAGCTTTCTGGGGAATCCAGACAGACATACCAGGGTTCCTCTCTCATGAAGGTGGAAAGCATCCCACAGTTTCTCCCCAGAGAAGAAGGCAATTGTGAGCCAAGTAGGCAAGAAGGCCAGAGCACTTTATTCAGGGTTCACATGCAGGATTCTCTAGTATTCATCCCCCTCCTCCTCATCCCCCTCCCCCTCAACACTATCCATGCCCACCTCCTCGTAATCCTTCTCCAGGGCGGCCATATCCTCCCGGGCCTCGGAGAACTCGCCCTCCTCCATGCCCTCGCCCACGTACCAGTGCACGAACGCCCGCTTGGCATACATCAGGTCGAACTTGTGGTCCAGGCGGGCCCAGGCCTCGGCGATGGCGGTGGTGTTGCTCAGCATGCACACGGCCCGCTGCACCTTGGCCAGGTCTCCCCCGGGCACCACCGTCGGGGGCTGGTAGTTGATGCCCACTTTGAAGCCCGTGGGGCACCAGTCCACGAACTGGATGGTGCGCTTGGTCTTGATGGTGGCGATGGCGGCATTGACATCCTTGGGTACCACGTCGCCCCGGTACAGCAGGCAGCAGGCCATGTACTTGCCATGGCGGGGGTCGCACTTCACCATCTGGTTGGCCGGCTCGAAGCAGGCGTTGGTGATCTCGGCCACCGACAGCTGCTCATGGTAGGCCTTCTCGGCCGAGATGACCGGCGCGTAGGTGGCCAGGGGGAAGTGGATGCGAGGGTAGGGCACCAGGTTGGTCTGGAACTCGGTCAGGTCCACGTTGAGGGCCCCGTCGAAGCGCAGCGAGGCCGTGATGGAGGACACGATCTGGCCGATGAGACGGTTGAGGTTGGTGTAGGTGGGCCGCTCGATGTCCAGGTTGCGCCGGCAGATGTCGTAGATGGCCTCGTTGTCCACCATGAAGGCACAGTCCGAGTGCTCCAGGGTGGTGTGCGTGGTCAGGATGGAGTTGTAGGGCTCCACCACGGCCGTGGACACCTGAGGGGCTGGGTAGATGGAGAACTCCAGCTTGGACTTCTTGCCGTAGTCCACAGAGAGTCGCTCCATGAGCAGCGAGGTAAAGCCAGAGCCGGTGCCCCCTCCGAAGCTGTGGAAGATCAGGAAGCCCTGGAGGCCTGTGCACTGGTCAGCCTGGGGAACAGAGGCCGGGAGTAATGGCATCAGAGCTCCTGCTGTTTCATAGAACCTTGCCAGACTTTTCTAAGAGTTTCTAAGGGTGTTTAGCAGGGGCAGAACCAGCCTCTCTCCTCCGGCTCCTCCATCCTCTGAAAACCAGCTAAGCTCTTGAATGTAGGGGACATGCATTTTGTACCCTGCCAGTCCCGTCCAACATCGGAGCTGAGCTGATTTAACCTCGCAAGCTCCTTTGTGTCTCCAATGATTACCGCAATCCGGGGACCCAATGCCAACCTATGCAGGAGCCCAAAGTCCAGCACAACACCTTGTGCCAGTGCTGTGGTAATCCTGGCATCTTCAGAGAACCCTCCTCTGCAGCCTCACGATGCCAAGTAATACGCTGGCAATGCCTGTTCTTTGGACCTTCATTCCTTCTCTCTCTTACCCCCCCCCAATCTGCTAAGGGCTTACTCCTGGCTCTGCACTCAAGAATCACTCCCAGTGGGGCTCAGGGGACCATATGGAGTGCCAAGGGTAAAACTAGAGTCAGTTGTATGAAAGGCAAAAACCCTACCCACTGGACTATCTTTCTAGCTCCATTATTACTTTTTTTTCCCCTTTTTTGATTTTGGAGCCACACCCGGTGATACTCAGGGCTTATTCCTGGGCCTGCACTCAGGGATCCCTCCTGGCAGTGGTCTGGGGGGACCAGATGAGATGCTGAGGATTGAACCCTGGTCTACCACTTGCAAGGCAAATGCTATACTATCTCTCCAGCCACCCGGACCCCCATTCTTTTTTTTTTGTTTTTTGGGTCACACCCAACAATGCACAGGGGTTACTCCTGGCTCATGCACTCAGGAATTACTCCTGACAGTACTCAGGGGACCATATGGGATGCTGGGAATCGAACCTGGGTTGATTGTGTGCAAGGCAAACGCCCTACCCACTGTACTACCGCTCCAGCCCCAAGGACACCCATTCTTGGCCAGACAGCTGCATGTATGCAGAAGGTCATCCTAAGCCAGCTGCTATGGGAGGTAGAGGGGACAGCCCGCTCCAGGGTGGTGCCTCCCCTCTGTCCTGCCCCATCCTTGCCCAGGAAGCTGTCCCAGGATGGAAGCTGCCCTTTCCCCATCCGATGGCTTCCGTGGCCCGCCCCAGCCTTCTCGCACCAGCTTCCGAATCCGGTCCAGCACCAGGTCAATGAGCTCCTTGCCGATGGTGTAGTGCCCTCGGGCATAGTTGTTAGCGGCATCTTCCTTGCCCGTGATCAGCTGCTCTGGATGGAAGAGCTGGCGGTACGTGCCCGTGCGAACCTCATCTGCAGTGATCAGAGTTTGAGAAACACCCTCCCTCCTCCAGGAGCTGAGGAGCCCCGGGTACCCCATGGGGATGGAATCAGCAACTCCCCCATGCTACCCTACGGGATCCCCGTTCTGCCCTGCCTTGCCTTCCAAGTCCTCCCAGGTGGAAAGGCAAGCGGGTGTGGTCCAGCCCCAGGGCTGCAGTTGGACTTCCAGCTACCGGCGCCTTCCAGCTGCTCTCCAGTTCTGGAGATCCCGCTGCGGCACGGGGTCAAGGCCACGGTAAAGCCTGAACATCACTCACCGATCACAGTGGGTTCCAGATCCACAAACACAGCGCGGGGCACATGCTTCCCCGCCCCAGTCTCGCTGAAGAAGGTGTTAAAGGAGTCGTCCCCTCCCCCGATGGTCTTGTCGCTGGGCATCTGCCCATCGGGCTGGATCCCGTGCTCCAGGCAGTAGAGCTCCCAGCAGGCATTGCCGATCTGCACGCCAGCCTGCCCCACGTGCACAGAGATGCATTCACGCTGAGTGGGCAGAGAGCAGAGAACACGCTGATGTGGGCAGCAGAGGGGCCCGCTTGACCACAGCATTCACCCCCCTTGAGGGCTGCTCTGAGCCAGGAAGGACGTTCCTGCACTTGGTTCTCCTGGCCCTGGTTCTCCTGTCTCCCAGAGCTTCAGCCACTCACAGTCTTTGCTCTAGGGGCTGAATGAAAACTCAGGCAGAGGCCGGAGTGACAGTACAACAGGTAGGGTGTTTGTCTTGTATGTGACTGACCTGAGTTCAATTCCTGGCATTCCCTATGGTCCGCCAAGCACTGCCAGGAGTAATTCCTGAGTGCAGAGCCAGGAGTAACCCCTGAGAATTGTTGGGTGTGACCCAAAAATTAAAAAAAAAATTTTAATTAAAAATAAAAGAAAGTCCGGCACAGCCATAACACCAGACCCACAGAAACCAATCTCGTAATTATCTGGCTCTTTGCAGAAATCCAAATTCATTATATGATTCTCATAACCAGCTATAGAAAACAAAGTATTTCACAATGCCTTTTCAGCAATTCTGATTGTTGGGGGTGAAATTCTAAACAATAATGGTGCATCTTTTGTCAAAATAATGAATGTAATCAATGTAGAGAAAAGTTAAGTAGAAATCATCTGCCTCACAGGCATTGGGAGGGGTGGGAAGGGGGAATATTGGGGTTCTTGGTGGTGAAAAATGAGTTCTGGTGAAGGGAAAGGTGTTTGATCATTGTATCACTGAGACTTAGACCTGAAAGCTTTGTAACTTTTCCAACAGTGATTCAATAAATAAATATAAGAAGAAAAATAAATTAATTTAAAAAAAAGAAAGTAAAAAATGCAGTCAAGCAGAAGATGCAGGTGAGTGTCAGATTAGTGACTTGTGTCATTCCTGAGTGCAAATTCAGGAGTAACCCCTGAGCAATGCCTGGTGTGACCAAAAAAGGGCTGGAGCAATGCACTGACTGCAGGAGGACTGCGTTACTCCCAGAATGCTGCAGGGAGTGAGAACAGCCCCTCAAGGTGGTCCAAACACAGAAAGAAAAGGGGGGAGGAGCAGTAGGGAGAGAGGACAGGGGTTAAGGCTCTTCCCTGGCATGTGGCACTGGCTCTGTGCTCAAGGATCACTCCAGGCACTGCATGGGGGACCACATGGGGTGCCAGAGATTGAACTCAGGTCAGCCACATGAAAGGCCAGTGTCCTACTAAATATACTGTCTCCCTGACCTCCCAGACTAAATCAAATTTTATTTTATTTTACCAGAATAAATTAAAAAAAATTAAGAGAGGCTGGAGCAATAGCACAGCGGGTAGGGCGTTTGCCTTGCATGCAGCTGATCCAGGTTCAATTTCCAGCATCCCATCATATGGTCCCCTGAGCACCACCAGGAGCAATTCCTGAGTGCATGAGCCAGGAGTAACCCCTGTGCATCCTCGGGTGTGACCCAAAAAGAAAAAAAATTAAGAGCCAGAGAGATATTATAGGCATTAAGGCATTTGCCTTGCATAGGGCCGTTCCTGGTTCTAACCTTGGCACCACTGCATACGACTCCCAAAACATCACCAGGGTTGATCTTGGGCATAGAGCCAGGAATAATCTCTGAGCACTACCAGGTGTGGCCCAAACTTCCCTTTCCCAAAGAAAAATTAGTCTATTTATTGTGTGTATATGCGTGGGGGCGGGGGGGGGGGCGGTGTTTAGGCCAGACCTGGTGATGCTCAGGTGTTACTTCTGGCTTTGCACTCAGGAATCACTCCTGACAGACTCAGGGGACCCCTATGGGATGCTAGAGATTGAACCCAGGTCAGTTGCATGCAAGGCAAGCTCCCAGCCATTATTTTTATTTTATCTTATTTATTTATTTTTTGCTTTTTGGGTCACACCTGGCGATGCACAGGGGTTACTCCTGGCTCTGCACTCAGGAGTTACTTCTGGCGGTGCCCAGGGAACCATATGGGATGCTGGGGATCGAACCCGGGTCAGCCGCTTGCAAGGCAAATGCCCTACCCGCTGTGCTATCTCTCCAGTCCCTTTATTTTATTTTTAATATTTTTGGAAAACAAAAGATTCTAGTCTTGCTCAGTGACTAAGCATTTGGGGGGAACATTGAGGGGCTCAGTGAGTCTGGCAGCATGTGATAGTCAACCACCCCAGCCTGGTAAAGAAGTGAGGCGCTGTTGGTGAGGGAAGCAAGACCCAGGGGTAGTTTCTGGGACTCTGAGATAAGCAGGTTAGAAAGGCAGAAGGAGCTCTAGGGCACATCACAGCTCAGAATGCCAATGAGAAGGGGCAAGAGGACCCGCGATGGCTGTGCACATCTGGCCCTTCCCCTTCTTGGGCGTGGAACTGGGGTGCACTGAGGTCGGGGTGAAATTTCTTCACCAGCTAATTCAAGGTTGCTGCTCAATGAACTCTTTCTCTCTCTTTTTTTTTCTTTTTGGGCCACACAGGGGGTTACTCCTGGCTCATACACTAAAGGAATTAATCCTGGTGGTGCTTGGGGGAACATATGGGATACTGGGACTCGAACCCGGGTCGGCCACAAGCAAGGCAAATGCCCTACCCGCTGTGCTATCACTCCTTCAACGAACTCTTGAAGCAGGACTAGACTAACTTGTATGGTTTGAGGAAAGACCAAGATCCTGGGCTGAGAGATAGTACAGGGGCCTAGGTGTTTGCTTAGGGGACAGAGCCGTAGTATAAGGTGCTTGCCTTGCAGGCAGCTGACCCCGGTTAGATCTCCAGCACCCTTTATGGTTTCTTGAGCCCCACCAGGAGTGATCCCTGAGTGCAGAGCCAGTAGTCACTGGCTGGGAGTAGCCCCAAACAAAACAAAACTAAGTGCTTGCCTTGAATGCAGCAGACCTGGGTTAGATCCCTGGCACCAAATAATTTCCTGAGAGGGGGACTGAAGTGATAGCAGAGCGGGGAGGGTGTTTGTCTTATACACGGCCAACCCAGGTTCGATTCCCGGCATCCCATATGGTTCCCCTGAGCATCACTAAGAGTAATTCCTTGACTGCAAAGCCAGGAGTGATCCCTTAGCATCACCAGATGTGACCCCCCCACACACACCAAAAAAAAAAAAGCCAAATTATTTCCTGAGTACTACCAAGTTTGACACCTGAGCATAGAACTCAGAGTAACCCCTGCACCTCAAAAACAAAAGTAATATGAGAATAATACCCAAAGATAGTAGAAACCAGGGCAAGGAGGACTGGCTCATGGTAGGAAGCTGGCTACAGGAGAGGAAGGGGAGTGCAGTTAGAACAAAGAAGGGACCACTATGAGAAGGATGGTTGGAAATTATCACTCTGGACACAAACTTAGTGCTGAAAGGAGGTAAAGGGATATGCATGAGACCCTTTCTTTCCTTCCTTCTTTCTTTCTCTCTTTCTCTTTCTTTCTTTTCTCTTCCTCTTTCTTTCTCTCTCTTCCTTCCTTCCTTCCTTCCTTTCTCTCTTTCTCTCTTCCTCCCTTTCTCTCTTTCTCTCTTCCTCCCTTCCTCTCTTTCTTTCTTTCTTTCTTTCTTTCTTTCTTTCTTTCTTTCTTTCTTTCTGTCTGTCTTTCTTTCTTACTTTGTGGGTCACACCTGGCGATAATCAGCGGTTACTCCTGTCTCTGCACTTAGGAATTACTCCTGGAGGCACTCAAGGGACCATATGGGATGCTGGGATCCCAGGTTGGCCTTTGCAAAGCAAACACCCTATCTGTTGCACTATCATCATTCTGGTCTGCATGATACCCTTTCAGTAATAGTACTGCAAACCGCAGTGCCTAAAAGGAAAAGGGGAAATAAGAGAGACAGACAGATAGACAGACACACGGAGAAGAAAATTATCTGCCTTAGAGGCAGGCTGGGGGTGGGGCCAGAGGAAAACAGGGAACATTGGGGGGTGAAAAATGTCCACCGGTGAAGGGATGGGTATTGGAGCATTGTATAGCTGAAAATCATGGGGGGAAAGGAGGGGAGGAATGAATGAATAATAAGGCAGACAGGCTTGCTTTATTTTAATGGTTTGGCCCTTAGTTCTGGTGTTTGGGCAACACCCAGCAGGACTCAGGGACTACTCCCAGCTTGCGGCTCCCAGCAGTGTGTGTAGGGAGGGGGAGGGAGGGAGTAGAGTTGGGTGGTGCCAGAGATCAAACCGGGCTGTCAAATGAAAGAGTATGTGCCCATAGAAGGACTGCACTCCTTTGTGGAGTATAAAACAACATAACACGAGGCTGACACCTAAGGATAGTAGATACACGGAACAGGTAGATTACTCCATAGCTGGAAGCCTGCCTCATGAGCAAAGGGGGAAAGGCAGCTGGAACAGAGAAGGGATCACGAAGACAATGATGGCTGGAGGAACCGGTCAGGATGGGAGATGTGTACAGACAGTAGATAAAGGACCAAACATGATGACCTCTCAGGGCCTGTATTGCAAACTATAATGCCCAAAAGGAGAGAGAGAGAGAGAGAGAATGTGGAATATTGTCTGCCATGAGTCAGGGGGAGGGTGGGAAAGGGGGGGTATACCGGAGATATTGGTGGCAGGGATTGTGCACTGGTGCAGGGATGGGTGTTTGATCATTGTGTGATTGTAACCCAAACATCAAAGCTTGTAACGATCTCAAGGTGATTCAATAAAATTAAAAAAGAAAAAGAAAAAAAAGAAAGAGTATGTGCCTCAGTTCTTTGAGTTATCTCCTCTATCACCCATGGCACCAAAAAATATCTCCCTCACCGGAAAAAAGCAAATTAAGAAGAAGGATGGTATGATGTCACATATATATGTATATATATATATATATATATATATATATGTATACATATAAATCTTTAACTTGTAAAATGATGATATCATTTAGAGATTCATTAGAGATGAATTTACTATTTGGCTATAATATGTGTGTTATGAAATAGAGCCAGGGAAAGTCATGACACCAAATAGGGAATAAAGCTCTCTAGTTGTGGGGCCAGAGTGATAGTAAATCATGGATGGCACTTGCCTTGCACACAGCGGCCCCGGGTTTCATCCTTGGCATCCCAGAGGGTCTCTGAGCCCTGCCAAGAATGATCTCAGAGTGCAGGGCCTGGAGTAAGTCTTAAACACCACAGGGTGTGACCCCGAAAACAAACAAAGAAACAAAAAACTCTCCAGTAAAAGGGGGAAGTAAAAGTAATTGAAAAGATTCTCTATCTTTTATTTTCATGAACTAGGTGGCAAGTGGTCATTGTATTGTTTTTCATACCTTTCTGCATGCCTGAACTATTTCTCAACTTTTTTTATGGTTTGAAGGTCACGCCAAGCTGTGCTCGGAGTTTACTCCTGGCAGTGCTCAGGGGACCATATGTGGTGCCAGGAATGAAAGGTGTTGGTGACGTCTAAGACAAGCACCAGGAGGGCTGGAGAGATAGTACAGTGGGCAGGGAGCCTGCCTTGAACGCGGATGACCCCAGTTCCATCCCTGACATCATACATGGCCCCCAAGCACCACCTGGGTAATCCCTGAGTACAGAACCAGGAATAACCCCTGAGCATTGCCCAGGGTGGCCCCAAAGCAAACAAATTAAAAAAGATAAGCGCGTTAGCCCCTACTATCTCTCCAGTCCACATTCCTTAGGAAAGATTCGATTGTCTCCATAAATTTAATACTTCACTGACATTCTTTTTGTTTTTGTTTTTGGGTCATGCCCAGTGCTGCTTGAGGCTGACTCCTGTCTCTGCACCCAGGGATCACTCCTGGTAAGCTGGGGGACCACACGTGAGGTGAGGACTGAACCTGGATTGGCCATACGCCTTAGCCACTGTACTATCTCTCTAGGTTCTTTTCTTTTCTTTTCTTTTCTTTTCTTTTCTTTTCTTTTCTTTTCTTTTCTTTAAGCACAGAGGTTAACTCCTGGCTCTGCACCCAGGAATTACTCCTGGCAGTACTCAGGGGACCATATGGGATGCTGGGAATCGAACCCGGGTCGGCTGCGTGCAAGGCAAACGCCCTACCCGCTGTACTATTGCGCCAGCCCCCTCTCTAGGTTCTTTTAGTTTGTTTTTGTTCGTTTGTTTGCTTGCTTGCTTTTTGGGTCACACACGGCAGTTACAGGGGTTACTCCTGGCGGTGCTCAGGGGACCATATGGGATGCTGGGATTCGAACCCAGGTCGGCCGCGTGCAAGGCCGCTGTGCTATCACTCCAGCCCCTGTACTATCTCTCTAGCCTAGTCACGGACATTGTTTGTTTGGGGGCCACACTCTCAAGTTTGTGCTCAGGGCTTAGCCCTGACTCTGTGCTCAGGGGTGACTCTTGGTGGAGCTTGGGGAGCATATGGGGGTGATGGAGATTGAACCTGGATTAGCCCTGGGCACGGCTATGCTATCTCTCCCGTCCCTTCACTGACATTCCTGTCTAATACCCACCTGGCCTTCTTTTTTGTTTGCTTGTTTGGGGCCATACCTGGCTGTGCTCGAGAGCTACTCCCGGCTGGTGGTCAGGGTCCCAGGGGCCACATGGCGCCAAGCATGCATTCCAGCCCCAGGGGTCACCTCCTCCCTCACCCCTTGACTTCTTATGAGTTTCAGATGAGTGGGGTTCATCCCAGCCCAGAGCTTCACTGCCTACCTAGGCAAGCCCCAAATTCTTTTTTTTTCTTTTTGAGTCACACCCGGTGATGCACAGGGGTTATTCCTGACTTTGCACTCAGGAATTACTCCTGGCGGTGCTCAGGAGACCATATGGGATGCTGGGAAACGAACCCGGGTCGGCCGTGTGCAAGGCAAACACCCTACCCATTGTACTATCTCTCCAGCCCCCCCCCCCCCCCAATTCTTTATAGCTGAGAAGAGCCTCCTCAGGGCCCAGAGAGTTGGGAAGTGATTACTCGATTCATTGATTTGATCCTCCAGCACCACAGTCCCCTGAGCACTGCCAGGAGCAACCCCCAAAGCACTGAATGGGGAGTGATCCCCAAGCACTCTTAGGTGTGGTCTAACAAAATAAAGTAAAACACAAAAAAATAAGAGCCCCTCCTGGAATGACTGCAGTGGGAGAATGCACACCGCTGGCCTGGCTCCTTGCACGTGCCCTTTTTCCAAACACCTGCTCTTGCCTCAAGGTATTCCAGAGTCACTGAGCTGAGAAGGTGATGAATGAAGCCGGGAGGAGTTAGGGACATGGGACACCTGAAATCCTCCTAGCCCGTGTTCTAGACAACCCCTCTCCCCATACCTCCCAGCCCACGGCCATTGCGAAGCCAAACACCAGCCTAACTAGGGCACCTGTGCCCCACAGGGCTGCCAGGACATTACCCTGGTGCCATCCAAGAAGAATAGCAGGTGGGGGCCAAAAAACTCAGCCCTGAGACCACACAGACTTGAGCCTCAGTCCCCACCCGCATGACCTCAGTGAATGCCCTGCACCCCCACTGCCCTGGCCCCTCTCTCCCTGCTGGATGGGGGGTCAAGATCTGGAACTGGATGAGGCAGGCTGGTGTAGAGGTTCTCTGTGAAGCGTGAATGCAGTGCTGGGCAAAACGCTTCCCATTCAGAGAGTGCTTTCGTCCAGTGCAATGCTCTAAGTACTCTACACCCAGGGTCTATATTTTTTTTTGGAGGGGGGTAACTTTTAGGGACCTTGCAGTGCCAAGGATGAAACCCAGGTTTGCCTCCTACCTGCAGATCATGCACATCAACCCTCTAGATTCTCCCTACACCCGTTCCACCCCTGGATCTTTGAATGCCCCATTTTACAGATGAGAACACCGACTCCCATGGGAGGTCAGTTCAAGGTCCTGAGTATGACTAGGACTGTTCTGAGCTGGGCAGCCTGACTCCGGCCACACTCCTAACTGCCCGCAGAAGAGACAGAGGATAGAGCAAGTGAGGGGCCAGAGAGAGAGCCCCTGCACTGGCTGAGCACCTGTTGTGCATGTGGGAGACCTGGGTTTGAGCCCCAGCACCATGTGGTCTCCCAGCATTGTCTCAATTGATGCCCCCAGCACAGCACCAGGATCACTCCTAAGCATCTCTAGAGTGGTCAAGCATTTGCCATGCATGAAGCCAACCCTGGTTCAACCCCCTACCACCATATATAGCCCCCAGAGCCCCAGCAAGAGTTGATCCCTGAGCACAGAGTCAGGAGGAGTCAGCCCTGAGCACTGCTAGGTGTGGTCAACACCTCTTCCCTCCAAAGAGTGGCCAAACAAAAGAAAATCAAACAAGATTGCGCTAGAGAGATAGCACAGCAGGTAGGGTATTTGCCTTGCACATGGCCGACCCGGGTTCAATCCCCTGCATCCCATGTGGTCCCCCGAGCATCGCCAGGAGTAACTCCTGAGTGCAGAGCCAGGAGTAAACCCCTGAGGATCGCCAGGTGTGACCCCAAAATAAAACCCAAAGTAAGATTGTAAAGATAGAGCCATTAATATATGCAAAAAAAAGAAAGAAAAGAAAAAAGAAATCACCTGAGATACTGAGCCATTAATATATGCAAAAAAAGAAAGGAAAGAGGGGGCTGGAGCAATAGCACAGTGGGTAGGGCGTTTGCCTTGCACGCAGCCAACATGGCCGACACGGGTTCGATTCCCAGCATCCCATATGGTCTCCCCGAGCACCGCCAGGAGTAATTCCTGAGTGCATGAGCCAGGAGTAACCCCTGAGCATCGCCTGGTGTGATCCCAAAAAACAAAAAAAAAAAAAGGAAAAAAAAAAGAAATCACCTGAGATGCTGATAATGGGAGAACCCCCCCAAGCCCCCCACATGGTTCCCAAATGCGAGCAAGGCAGAGGGGCTGGCGTGAGAGGACCTGTCCCAACGGCAGGCAGGTGGGGCCACCAGGAAGCTGGGATCCTTCCCCACCTTGTGCACCCTAGAGCTCAGAGCCCTGCCCCTGAGCTGGGGCCGAACCTCCCCCAAGACTGGTTTTTGTGGCCCCACCCTTCTCTTATCTGTCCCCCATGTCCCCAGGACCCAGAACTCCCGGGGGTCACACCTTGAGGCCTCTTTGGCCACCTCACCTGCCTATACATTGAAGCCCCATGATAATCGAGCCCCCCCTGCACCCCCCACCCTGTGGGCTCCCCAGGGTCCCTCACATGGGCCCGTGGGGCTGTTGGGACCCTCAAGTGCCTCCTCAGCTGACCCCTACTCACCATTCTGCCTGGAGGAGGTGCTGGCTGGAGCCTCTGTGCTTGTGTCTGCGGCTACCTGGTAGCAGGGACTGGTGTAGGGGTGCCCCGAGGCTGCCCTTTATACGTTCTCCGTGCTCTCAGGGGGGGAGTGTTGTTAGAAACGGCCCCAGGAGGGCAGGCCTGTTTGCTTGGTTACTGGTTACAGAGAAGCAGGCAAAAAAGTTGGGCGTGAACCCAAGTGGGGGGGAAGAAGGGGGGAAGGGGGCGGGGTTGAGGGAGGAGAGGGAAGGAGAGAAGGGATGGGATTGGGGGAGAAGCGGGAAGGTTTGGGAGTGGGGAGGAGGGCAGAAGGGGTGGGGTTAGGGAGGGCGGGGAGGTGGGTGGGTTGGCAGGAGGAGGGCAGAGGGAATGGAAGGGGTGAGGTGGGGGAGGGTGGGCTGTCACCCACTGGTATCCAGGCGCCCATGCCTAGCACCCGTTGCTTAGTCTCACGGCCCTGTCACCTGGGACACAGCTAGGCCTTCCCCGGGCGGGCGGAGACTTCTGCCCTACCCCTCACTTCCACCCCTGCAGCCTTGGCACTGCCCCCACACCAGGGTTGGTTACGTGTGGCTGAGCTCAGAGGAACTGCCAATGAACCAGAAATAATGAGTCCAGAGCCCGCGATCAAGCCTTGGGGCCTTTCAGAATATTCTAGAACATTGGAGGCCTGCGCTCAGCTTCAGGTTCTTCATCATTGTCTTTTCTAGCCTTGGTTTGCTCAGCTGTAGAGCAGGGAGGGGTGGGGGGTGGTGTTTTTGTTTAGCTTGTTTGTTTGAGTGTGTGTGTGTGTGTGTGTGTGTGTGTGTGTGTGAGTGTAGGTGTGTGGGGTGGGTGGAGTGGTATAACCAGTGTTGCTCAGGATTTACTCCTGGCTCTGCACTCAGGAATCTCTCCTGGGGGACCATTTGGGGGTGCCGGGGATTGAACCTGGGTTGGCCACTGTGCTCTAGCTCCGACGAGCTTCAGTTCTTAAGTCATGTCCCCATCCTCCTGAGAGGCTATATTCTGAGTGTAAACAGGATTAATTTTCTTTTTTCCATGTTTCATTTTGAAGTTACACAGAGAAGTGATCAAGGCTTACTCCTGTCTTTGTGCTCCGGGCTCACTCTTGGCGGGGTGCTCAGGAACCAGGCAGTGCTGGGAGATCAAACCCGGGTCAGATGAACACAGGACAGATGCCTTAGGTCCTATACACTATCTCTACTCTCTCTCTCTCTCTCTTTCTCTGTGTGTGTCCCTGTCTCTGTCTCCCTGTCTCTGCCTCTCTCTCTGTCTCTCTGTCTCTGTCTCCCTGTCTCTGCCTCTCTCTCTCTGTCTCTCTGTCTCTGTCTCCCTGTCTCTGCCTCTTTATCTCTCTCTGTGTCCCTGTCTCTGTCTCCCTGTCTCTCTGTCTCTGTCTCTCTGTCTCTGTCTCCCTGTCTTTGCCTCTCTATCTCTGTCTCTCTGTCTCCCTGTCTCTGTCTCTGTCTTTGTGAGTGGGTCTCTGTCTTTCTCTGTCTCTCTGTCTCTGTCTGTCTGTCTCTCTCTCCTCAATAAAAGAGAGCAGGATTGCTACTGATCCCCAGGGAGGACTGAGGTCAGGCAGTGTCCCCGCTGCCTGGGGGATCCAGATCCCTTTGCTTCTGCTGGTCAAGACTGGCCTAACTTTCCTGGCTACAGGCTCCTTAAACACAGTCAGGAGTAATTCCTGAATGCAGAGCGAGGAGTAAGCCCTGAGCACTGCTGCTATGACTCCCCCCCTCCCCCCTACACAAATAAAGGAATAGGAATGTTCATGTCTCACCGGGGTAACCTGCTTTGTTCCTTTGTCTGTCTGTTTGTTGGGAGAGATGGTGTCCCCTCCCAACAGTGCTCGGGGCCTCTGTAGTTTCCAGGGATCAAACCCAGAGCACTGACTTTCCTGGAGCTGCCGAAGTCCTCCAGGCAATTTCCCCAGCCCCGTTCTATAGGTTGGTTGGTTTGTTTTTTACAGGGCCACACCTGGCAGTGATCAGGGCTGAACTCCTAACTCTGTGCTCAAGAATCTTTTCTGGCAGGCTCAGAGGACCATATGGGGGATGCCAGGGATCGAACCCAGGTTGGGCAGGTGCTAGTCAAGTGTCTTAACTGTGGATTATCTGCTGGCCCCTGCTAGGAGATCTGAGGCAGCTTTGGTGCTTCTCTGCTTGAGTCTCTCAGGAACTGGTGGCGTAGGCAAGGCGGGGCCTCCAATCCCATGGCAGAGAAAGGAAATTGATGCCTCCTGGGTAGTGCCCGGAGCCCTTGGAGGGTCATTAGTGGTGAAATTAAGGGTCCTTGGGGCCTTGGTTCAGTGTTTCCATATGCCAGAATGCGCACAGGTCCTCACCTGCCTGCCTTCTACACCTTCCTTCCTTCTTCCTTCCCTCCCTCCTTCCATCTTTCCTTCCTTCCTTTCCCCCTCCCTCCCTCCCTCCCTCCCTCCCTCCCTCCCTCCCTCCCTCCCTTCTTTCTTTCTTTCTTTCTTTCTTTCTGTCTTTTCTCTCTTTCCCTCTTTCTTTCTGCCACACCTGGCAGTGCTCAGGGTTGACTCCTAGCTCTGAGCTCCGAGATCACTCCTTATGGTACTTGGGGAACCCTATGAGGTGCCAGGGATTAAACCTGGGTTGGCCACCCGCGATGCTCAGGGGTTACTCCTGGCTCTGCACTCAGGAATCACTCCTGGTGGTGCTCAGGGGACCATATGGAATGCCGGGATCGGACCCGGGTCAGCCACGTGCAAGGCAAACGCCCTACCCACTGCACTATCACTCTGGCCCTGATATTTTTATTTTTTTATTCACCTTATTTGAATCTAGTAGCCCATGTGCAATGACTCTGAGCCCTGTGAGGCCAGCTTCAGTATTACCATGCCTGCTTTAATGACCGCCAAGGCTAGACCCCCAATGATTTCTTTTCCTTCCTTGGCATCTCAAATCCCAACTTGTGGCCATGGCCAAGCCATTACCCATATCTCCTGCCAGCTTCTGAACCCCAGCCCGCTAAGCCTTAGCCCTGGTTCAGTCTATTTCTTCACTGCCTCTGTGTCCACCCTACACCAACTAAACAGGGGGTGGAGAAAACTCCAGAACCTCTGCTTGGTGGGCACTAACCTCCAAGGGACCTTAATGTACCTCCTCTCCAGCCTTGATCTCCCTGAAGGCAGCCCTGCCCAGGAGCAGAGGGGCTGGGCCCACAAGGTCTCCCCTGCCAACCATCTCCCGGAAGTAATTGCTCATGTGACATTTCCATCTCATTGTGCCAACTGGCAGTGGAAGGTGACTTTGAGGACTTTGAGGTAGAGACTTTTCTTTTTTAAAGTTAGAAAAAAATTGTTGATTTATTTTTTAATTGAATCACTGAAGGATATACAAATACCAAGTTGTTCCTGATTCGGTTTCAGTCATGCAGTGTTCCAATACCTGTCCCTTCACCACTGTATATTCCCCACCACCAACATCCCCAGTTTCCCTCCTGCCCCCACCTCTGCCTACCCCTATGCTTCATAGACACTTTTCTCCTCTCTCTGTCTCTGTCTCTCTTTCTCTCTCTCCTCTTGGGCATTATGACTTACAGTACAGATACTGAAAGGTTATCATGCATATCCCTTTACCTACTTTCAGCACTCAGGGTTTGTTTTCTTTTCTTTTTTTTTTTTTTTTTTGCCTTTTGGGTCACACCTGGTGATGCACAGGGGTTACTCCTGGCTCATGCACTCAGAAATTATTCCTGGCAGTGCTCGGGGGACCATAGGATGCTGGGACTCGAACCTGGGTCAGCCGCATGCAAGACAAACGCCCTGCCCGCTTTGCTATTGATCTAGCCCCAGCACTCAGTTCTTGTCTAGAGTGATCATTTCCAACTATTATTGTCACAGTGGCAGTCTCCTGCCTCTGCGCCTGGCTGTCCTCACCGCGGCCCCTTAGAGGAGGGTGGGTTGAGTTTCCCTCCCCACCCTGAGCAGAGCCCTGGCAGCTGAAGACCTCGGTTCCAGCCACAGACATGCTTAAGACCACTCTCCACATGTTTGGACGAGCTTCACACATGAAGGAACTGGCAGAGGAACCCAGGTGTGCGGGACTCAGGGCGTAGATCTCCAAGCCTGCTCGGATTGGGACTGGGCCTCCTCCACCCAGATTCCCCATCTTCCAGTATGTAGGAGTTACACCCACCAACTGCCCCTGGCACCATGTAATCCCATCAATGGCCAAGACCCAGGGACTATAAAACCCAGCTCCCAGAAGAGTGCAGCCACATTTGCGGCCATGTGATATCTTATTTTCTAGTACTTACTCTGGAGAACCTGGCAGGCTACCAAAAGTATCCTGCCCACACGGCAGAGTCTGGCAAACTCCCCGTGGCATTTTGAATATGCCAAAAATCAGTAACAATGATGGGTCTCATTCTCCTGACTATGAAAGAGCCTCGAATGTGGCACTTTCTAAAATCTCAGGGCTAGGACAAAGGAGATGTTACTGGTGCCAGATCGAGGAAATCGATGAACAACAGGATGACAGTGATACAGTGACGGTGATTGTCACAGTGGTCCCTTTGAGGCAGAAACTTTTCTAGAACCCTTCACATTCCAGTATGCCAGAAGCAGCCTGGATACAAGATGGCTAAAGAGGGTTCGAGTTATGGACCGAATGAAGTTTTCTCTCTCCCAACCCAGAGATAAGACCCAGCCCCCCAACATTCTAGTGGGAAGGAAGCTCCAGCTCCCAGGAATTACCATCTTGAGATATTCATATCCAGATTGAGGGGCGGGGGGATTTGGGAACCAGAGAGGGGTCCAAGATTCTCTTGCCTCACACTTTAGGGCTCCCCAACTGGTCTTTCAAGCTGGGCTTCTCCAAATCCACCTAGCTATCACCCAATCTGAAAAAAAAAATCAGAAAATCGGATAGAGGATGAGGCCTTGTGTAAAAGAGTACAGAGGACCTAGAACGATAGCACAGCGGGAAGGATATTTGCCTTGCATGCAGCCGACCCGGGTTCAATTCCCAGCATCCCATATGGTCCCCCGAGCATCTCCAGGAGTGATTCCTGAGTACAGAGCCAGCAGTAACCCCTGTGCAATGCCGGGTGTGATCCTCCCAAAAAGAAAAAATAATAATTAATAAACTTTAAAAAATTAATAA